CAGAGGTCTTCAATCTGTATGTAACATTCTTATTAAAATAAGATCTGAAACAAATATGACAAAGCCAGAAGTTGAGTTCATGGCATTCATTATATTATTAACCATACTTTTTGCTAATACTTAAAATATTTCATAATAAAACAGTTGCTCAGAAGTGGCCCCTCTGTTAAAAAGCTCTTAGATTAAAGGGGCATCATAAGTGCAAACAAAAGTTTTTCATAGTATGCTAGAAGTAGTATTAAGGGCATATATGAGGTAGGACTGGAGAAAGCAATGGCACCCCACTCCAGTACTCTTGCCTGGAAAATCCCATGGACGGAGGATCCTGGTGGGCTGCAGTCCATGGGGTTGCGAAGAGTCGGACCCGACTGAGTGACTTCACTTTCACTTTCACATTCATGCCTTGGAGAAGGAAATGGCAACCCACTCCAGTGTTCTTGCCTGGAGAAGCCCAGGGACGGGGGAGCCTGGTGGGCTGCTGTCTATGGGGTCGCTCAGAGTCGGACACGACTGACGCGACTTAGCAGCAGCAGCATGAGGTAGGAAGAGGAACACAGAAGAGGGTAGAAATGTCTCAAGGAGTCAAGGAATATCTCGCTAGGTGATTGAATTTGAGTTTATTATCTGATGGTATACAGATGTTTACTTGGGAGAATATAAAAAGATGGTTATGCAAGGCTGAGTAGATAGTTTGTACAAAGGTCAAGGTGCCGAAGAGTTTGGTGCCTTCAAAGAATAATAAGAAAATTTGGCCTCACTGGAGCCTGGAACTGTCAGGGTAGAGGTGGAGTGGTGAGGCAGCTAAAGCTGACTGGGACCGGCTCAGGTCCTGCTCTATGATCTAAGTCAGGGCAGTGGTATGTGTAGGAGGGTGCAGATGGGCAGTGGTAGAACGGAACAGGGAGAGACCTGAACCAGAGAGACCCATAAAGAAGCTCTTGTAAGTGTCCAAGTGACAGACAGTGAGAGCCTGAGCTGTGACTCTTTTTTTTTTTTTAAATTTTTTTTTTAAATTTTTTTTTTAATTTTTTTTTTTTTATTTTTATTAGTTGGAGGCTAATTACTTTACATCATTACAGTAGTTTTTGTTATACATTGAAATGAATTAGCCATGGATTTACATGTATTCCCCATCCCAGTCCCCCCTCCCACCTCCCTCTCCACCCGATCCCTCTGGGTCTTCCCAGTGCACCAGGCCCGAGCACTTGTCTCATGTACCCAACCTGGGCTGGTTATCTGTTTCACCCTAGATAATATACATGTTTCAATGCTGTTCTCTTGAAACGTCCCACCCTCGCCTTCTCCCAGAGTCCACAAGTCTGTTCTATACATCTGAGTCTCTTTTTCTGTTTTGCATATAGGGTTATCGTTACCATCTTTCTAAAGTCCATATATATGTGTTAGTATACTGTAATGGTCTTTATCTTTCTGGCTTACTTCGCTCTGTATAATGGGCTCCAGTTTCATCCATCTCATTAGAACTGATTCAAATGAATTCTTTTTAATGGCTGAGTAATATTCCATGGTGTATATGTACCACAGCTTCCTCATCCATTCGTCTGCTGATGGGCATCTGGGTTGCTTCCATGTCCTGGCTATTATAAACAGTTGAGCTGTGACTCTTTATCTGCAATAACTGAAATCAGGATGTTGAAGAGATATTAGTGCTCACATTTTATTTCAACACTATTTACAATAGCCGAGGTATGGAAACAGTTTAAATATCCATTGAAAGTTGAGTGGATAAAGAAAATACAGTGTATACATATACAGTGGAATACTATTCAATCTTATACAAGGAAGGCATATATACCATATGCCAGAACATGGGTAAACCTTGAGGACATTATGCTAAGTCAGACCAGCCGTCACAGAAAAACATATACTGCACGGTTCCATTTATGTGAGGTTTCTGAAATAGCCAGATTCATAGAATGAAAAGAGTTGAATGGTGGTTGCCAGGGACTGGGGTTGGGAAAAATGTAAGTTACTAATCAACAGGCTTTCAGTTAAGCAAAACAATGTCTTCCAAAGATCTGCTGTGTAACATTGTAACTATAGTCAATAGTATGGCTGACTTAAAAATTACTTAAAGATTTGAAAGGCTAGATCTCATGTTAAATGTTCTTACCAAATAAAACCTTTAGAATTTAAAGTATGATGTTGGTATTTAGTATACATTAAGTGCTTAGTAAGCACTTAATTAGTTTCTTATCTTTTTCTTTGCTCTTACTCTGGCTAATTAATGCCTAGATTTGCCTGAGAACGTTTAGTTTAAGTACGTTGCTTTTGACTCAAAATAAGCAAAGTACTACTAGCTACAGAAGCTCTAAATTCCTTGAAAGTGGGGATCATATCTTATACTTGAATCAATCGGGCCTATATTGGGCATTTACTGTTTGCCTCCCAGCATGCACTACAATGCTGGTACATAGTAAGTGCCCAATAAATATATAAATGCCTCCTGAATTGAGGAGCAATAACCGATAAAATAAGCATGCATGGGTGCATGCTCAGTCGCTCAGTCATATCTGACTCTTTGCGACCCCATGGACTGTGCCCCTCCAGGCTCCTCTGTCCATGCGATTTTCCAGGCAAGAATACTGGAGTGGGTTGCCATTTCCTCCTCCAGGGGATCTTCCCCACCCAGGGATCCAACCAGTGTCTCCTGCATTGGCAGATGGATTCTTTTTACCACCAAACCATCTGGGAAGCCCCAAATAAGCCTAAGATGCTTTATCATTTAGGCTGATATTTAATCACTTGGTAACAACCTTGTTAAGCCTAACATTAGCAAGCAGTAAGCATATCATTTTATAAGGAATGGGAAATAATTCTAACAGTTATTTGTTCAAGTTCACAGAAAGAAAAAGTCATTTGAGTCAGAAATAGACAGCAGTTAATCTGTCAGTAAATAGGGGAAAAGCTCCCAGTGGTATTTCAGTTAAGGGCCCAGTGAGGCGTGAATAGGCCATCCCTTAGGATTTCTAATGCAGAAGAACAAACATAAAAATAGAAGACTGCCTTTCATGTAGTAAGCCCCAAGTTCTCCAATCATATTCTAAGCAGCAACCAGAATAAAGGACCTTGGGTCAACGAGGAAGTAAGTTTGGCTCAGAGGGTTTCAAGGGAATATGGACTACACAGATCATGGAATGGATCCTTATCTTTGGGGCCCTTTTGTATGACTGTGCTAAAAAATAAACTCATAGTGTAAATGTTCACCATAGATGACGGGGATCTGGTTTAATTTTTATCTTTGGGATGTTCTTCGATTGAAAGAAAAAAAAAAAAGCAGGGTTTAAGCCAGAATCTAAGGTGGGTTAAGACTTAGGGATTAATGAATTTTGCCAATAAGTACTCAGAAATGAGGTTGGTGGATTAGCAAAAAGAGATAAACTTGTGTCAAACTTGGTAATTGGCATACAAGGGAGGTGTGGAAAGATAGAAAAGTGAAAAAAGCAGAGGTCCAAATGGGGCAGATTTTGAAACAGATATCTGTGGTATGCTCAGGCCAGAAGTTAAAATGAGAATAAAATTAGAGACTCACTTCTGGAGTAGATAGACAGGGAAGAGTAGATCCTGTTCTTCTCTGGGCTACTGTGTCCTCATTTGTAAGATGCATGAATTATTAATGCATATATACAGAGAACATCCTCTGCAAAATTTGTCCTAGTTAAAAAAGCTGAAGCTCTGACATATGGAGGTGTGAGTTAGGGTTGAGGGATAGCAGATAAGGCAAGTATATACAGCCAGCAAGCTGAAGAGTCAAGAGGTTAGTTAGAGGCAACAAGGAGGGGTTTCTCCCAGGAAGTAGATTACACGACCAGTCCTTGTGTGGTAGGGTGAATCGTGCCCCCCCAAAATGATATGTCTAAGTCCTAACCCCCAGTACCTGTAAATGAGATCGTCTTTGCAGATATAGACTAATTAAGAAGAGGTCCTAATGGATTACAGCGGTCCTTATTTCAGTGACTGTTGTCTTTGTAAGAAGGGTTCTCCCTTAGACACTGAGCTACATGCAGGGGAGAAGGCTATGTGAAGATGGAGACAGAGGCTGAAATTATGTAGTTAAAAGCCAAGGAATGTCATCAACCCCTAGAAGCTAGGAAAAGGCAAACATTCTTCCTTAGAACCTTCAGAGAAAGTATGATACTTCCAACACCTTGATTTTGAGCTTCTGAAAACTGTTATTTCATGACTGTGAGGGAATAAATTTCTCATGTTATAAACCACCCAATCTGTGGTACTCTATTACAGCTGCCAGAGGAGACAAATGCACCTTACTATCTGAAAATGACTTTCAACTATGTGTTTCCCAGTTTTATGAGTCAACTGAGAAAGCTGGTCCTCACACTGCATGTCCTCAGTTGAGACTCTGGCATTAAAATCCCTGCAAACCCTACCTCTTTACCCTACCAGGCCAGGAATCCCCTAGTAGAACAAGATTTGGTGAGAGTACTGGTCAGGGAAGACCTCTAGTATGACTGGAGAGTTCAGGCTTGCCTTAGGGGCCACATCTTTTCTGGGTTCTGAGGGCTAAGATCTTTCTCCTTCAGAACTTAACAGCATACAAATCCCTGTACCTCAAATTTTTTCTTATTTTACTCATATAAGAGGCAGATATGCTGTTTGACCAAGGAGAACAATAAGCAATGAAATAAGTAGTAAACCTTTTGAGTTTGGGGAAACCACTGGATCAGTGGTTGCACTTTATAGTCTCTGAGATTTAAATAAACATCGATGTCTAGGTCCTACCTGCAGAGATTAGACTGGGATAAAGCTCATATATTAGCATTTAAAAAAAAATGCTCCAGTATTTAGCACTGAAACCTTGTATAGAGTGATGACTTGGGTCCAGTAAGAAATTGGATCTATGGTGTATCCACCCAACTTCTTAACCAGGTCTTGTAGAAGGAAAGTTGTTGATTTATTAGATGGATAATTATATCTAGTTCCTGAGTGTCAGAGTTCTCTCAAAACTACTTTTTGTGTTTCAGATCTGACACCACACAAACTCCTCCTCCTCCATCCCCTGTACCCAGCTAGTCACCTCAACAGTATCTTTAGGTCTTTGGATGGAGATGACTTTAGACTGCCAAGAAAAGGCATAGCTCTCCTTATTCTGAGGAATGCAGTCATGGTGAAGACAGAAACTGTTTGCATTAGCTGATGAAATCCAGAACTTGATGGAACACCACAGACCTTATGTTGGAGGAGGGTAAGGATCTTGCGGGATCTGACTGGATACCCAGCGGATTGATGTTGTATCTCAGAAACTGAACTACTGCTTGGCCAAGTAAGCACTTCTCTAGCTTACCTTGTAACATATATGGCCAGAGGCTGGCACCAACCATATAGATATGCACAGTTTGCTGGGTCAGGTCCTATGAGGAAATCAAGATTATATCAATGGGATTCTTTATAAGCTGTTGGAGGGAGAGCAGTCTATTGCATCATTCCTAACGGCATTATACTCATAAGGACTGTACTAAGTCGGGAATAACTGCTTTTATTCTCTCTGGATTCACACTAGTCTGTGTGCCCCCCAAAGGTTATTTGGTATAAATACTTATTGTACATTACCAGTCTTACAAACTGGGGAGTGATGGTGATATAAATTGGGAGTCTTACAAACTTAGATGGTGATGATGTTGAGAATCAGGAGTCTTATGTAACCTCACTTGCTCACTTTTATATAACACAAGAAGAATCAGAATCTAGGAAGGGGAGAGAGAAGGGCAAGTGAGCCTTCACTGCAGATCTGCCTCAATGAACTTCTGGAATTGCTTTGTATCTGACTTCTTTTTCTTCTGGCTAACTATTGTTGATTCTTTATTCTGTTTTAAGGCACTATGCTAAGCTCCTTGTGTATGTCACCTCATTTAATATTCTCAACACATCTCTAAGGAATGCATTGCTGATGGCTCCCATCATACAAACTTTGGAATTTGCTAGTCAGTTGTAGATTCAATTCCCATAAGAGGATATTTAAGATCTGCTGGGATCCATATCAATCTCAGTGTTGTGGTTGTGGTGGTATACATGATCTAGAATTTGTGGTGATGTAGAATTAAATCCAAATCGTGTTTTGCCTATATAGGTGGGTCAATAGTAGCCCAGGGGGAACATGGGTAATATTAGTAAAAGCATGCAGACATGAAAGTCAGTTCTCAGGAATGCCAGGCCCTAGGATTCAAATGACCAGGTTAGGATTCAAATCTAGGGAAATGTAGGAAGTGAAGGAGTTACTGATGCAGTTCTCTCTTGTTAGTTTCTTATAATCATTGTTGGATTTTGCCCTTTAAAGACTAGTAAGATGAGGAGAATGATTTTTTCTTTTAATTTTTTACAGAGTTTTCAAAGGTTCCTTTCCATTTAGTTATTATAAAATATTGGCTATATTCCCTGTAGTGTACACGAAATGCTTGAGCTTATCTTGCACCCAGTGGTCTGTGCCTCCCGCCTCCTGCACTCCTGTACTGCCCCTCCCCCTCCCCACTGGTGACCACTAGTTTGTTCTCTGTATCTGTTGCATCTGCTTCTTTTTTGTTATGTTCACTACTTTGTTATATTTTTTAGATTCTATCTATAAGTGATATCATACAGTATTTGTATTTCTCTGTCTGACTTTTTTCACTTAGCACAATGCCATCCAAGTCCATCTATATTGTTGTATATCTTCTTTAATTCATTTACTTATCCATTCATCTATTAATGGACATTTACGTGCTTTGGGACTTCCAGCGTGGCTCAGATAAAAAATCTGCCTGCAATGCAGGAGACCCAGGTTCGATCCCTGGGTTCGGAATTCCCAACCAGGGATCCCAAACCAGGGATCAAACCCTCCATTATCCTGGATTGGGATCCTAATGTTGCATTTCTCTGGAATCCTAACTTGGTCATTTGAATCCTACGGTCTGGCATTCCTGAGAACTGACTTTCATGTCTGCTAATCCCCTGAAGAAGGGAACAGCTACCCACTCCAGTATTCTTGCCTGGAGAATTTCATGGATAGAGGAGCCTGGTGGGCTCAAGTCCATGGGGGTCATGACTGAGACGACAAACCCATACTGACTTCGGTTGATTTACATATATTGGTTATTGTAAATAACACTGCTATGAACATTGGGGTGCATGTATCTTTTGTAATCTTTTCAAATTAGTGGTTTTGATTTTTTTTTTTTTTGGATATATATATATCCAAGAGTAGAATTGCTGGGTCATATGATAGTTCTATTTTAGTTTTATTTTTAGAAACCTCCATACTGTTTCCCACCATGGCTGTACCGGTTTAAATTCCCATCAACAGTATACAGTGGTTCCCTTTCAGATGAGGAAAATGATTTTTCTGAGAAATCAGAAGTCTAGGAATTAAGTCACAATGGGATCAATGTAGTCCAAATATAGTCTTCAGACCCCACATCAGAATTTCCCACCTCAGATCTCCCAACTCAAAATCTCTGAGAATATCTTGTGGAAATGTGAATAGGATAAAAGATGAGATGTTTTCATTCCTATTGACATGCAAAATTCTTAAAAGCATCCAATCAAACATAAGCCCATTTAGAAAAAAAGGCCAAGGGCAAATTTTTGAAGTTATTCTATGGTTATGGGTGTTGTGAATAACTGTGCTTGTGGGGATACCCATTCTTTGTCTACTTTGCAAAGCCTATAGTTCTGAAGTGATTAACTGCCATTGCATTTTTGTCCTCCTTTACTCAAAGTTTGAACTGAATAGTTGATGAATAATGTTGATATATGACCCTTGTGTGAGTTGGCTGGAAGAATGGAACTGCATCAGTGGAGTTGCTGAGACTATTGAATTGAAAGATTTCTCTAGATTACAACTGAATTTGAATGTGAGTTTTAGAAGATGTCAAATTCAGACAGTAAGAAGCATGCATTTGGAAGATTCTAGTGTTTACCGTAAGACTGAAGTCCTGTTTCTTTTATGTCCAAGTTGGACCAGGAACAACTTCAGAATTTTTAAGCAGACTATAATTTGATTCAGTCATTCTCTCTTTATTCAGTATTTCTTTAGATCCCTGGCTAGAAGGAGTCATTCTGCTTCTCAGGCATTATTTTTTTTCATTTATTTTTATTAGTTGGAGGCTAATTACTTTACAGTATTGTAGTATTTTTGCCATACATTGATATGAATTAGCCATGGATTTACATGTGTTCCCCATCCCCATCCCCACTCCCACCTCCCTCCCCATCCCATCCCTCTGGGTCTTCCCAGTGCACCAGCCCTGAGCACTTGTCTCATGCATCCAACCTGGGCTGGTGATCTGTTTCACCCTTGACAGTATGCTTGTTTCAATGCTGTTCTCTCAGAACATCCCACCCTCACCTTCTCCCATAGAGTCTAAAAGTTTGTTCTGTACATCTGTGTCTCTTTTTCTGTCTTGCATATAGGGTTATCGTTACCATCTTTTTAAATTCCATATATATGCGTTAGTATACTGTATTGGTCTTTATCTTTCTGGCTTACTTCACTCTGTATAAAAATCATAAAACTCAGTTAAAAACATAAGTATGTCTATGCAGAATCAAAACCTCTGTTTGTGTATATTTGAATGGACTGATGTAGAAGCAGGCAGTATGTTTCAAAAATATATAAACAAGTAAGAAAAGAATAATTCCAGTCTAAGATTTATCTATAATTTATTAAAAGCTCCTTTTAGACATCACATCATCTTGAAGGGTCACTGGCTAGAAATATAAAAGTGGGTCTTTCAGTGGTGGTGTTATATATAACTAATTGTTTCTTATTTTTGTGATTGACAATCTAGAGCACTGATTCTCAGTCTATTTTCCCTTGGAACTTGCTGAACTTAGATTTTTCTAGTAAGATTTTTTACTCGGAATGAAAAATTACTTAAAATTTTCCTTATTATTTATTTACTAATGCTGTTTATTGGGCTTCCCTGGTGGCTCAGATGGTAAAGAATCCACCTGCAATGCGGGAGACCTGGGTTCAGTCCTGGGTTGGGAAGATCTGCTCATTAATGTTAATAGTCAAGAAATAAATGAATACATCAACAAATGAATGGATAAAGGAAATGTGGGGTGTGTGTGTGTGTGTGTGTGTATATATATATATTATATATATACTTGTAAAATTTTATATGTATCAGTTCAGTTCAGTTGTGTTCGACTCTTTGTGACACTCTGGATTGCAGCATGCCAGGCTTCCCTGCCTATCACCGACTCCCGGAGCTTGCTCAAACTCTAGTCATTGAATCAGTGATGCCATCCAACTGTCTCATCCTCTGTCATCCCTTCTCCTCCTGCCTTCAATCTTTCCCAGCATTGGGGTCTTTTCATGTGATATTATTTAGTCTTAGGAAAAAAAAAGAAATCAGACCATTTGTGACAACATTAATGGAACTTGAGGGCATTATGCTAAGCGAAATAAGCCAGACAAAGACAAATACTGTATAATATCACTTATATGTGGAATCTAAAAAAAACCTCATAAAAAAAGAGAGTTAGAATGGTGGTTGCCAGAGGCTGAGTGATGGGGGAAATGGAGAGATGTTGGTCAAAAATATAAGTGTCCAGTTATAAGATGAATATATTCTGGAGGTGTAATGTACAGCATGGTGTCTCTAGTTAATAATACTGTACTGTGTATTGGAAAGTTGCTCAAGAAAGTAGATCTTGAATGTCCTTAGTATACACACACACATAAAGGCAATTATGTGAAATGATGACGGTGTTTAACCTTATTGTCGTAATCATTTCACAGTATTTACATGTATCAAACCATCATGTCGAACACCTTAAACTTACACAACTTTATATATCCATTCTATCTCAATAAAGGTGGAAAAAAGAGAAATGAACACGATACATTAAGAAACAAAGATCCTCAGAAAGAGTTGATCCTTGTGCGCCAGCATTTTTGAGGGCTTCCCTGGTTGGTGAAGAATGTGCCTGCAATGCAGGAGACATGGCTTTGATCCATGGGTTTAGAAGATCCCTTGGAGGAGGGCATGACAACCTATTCCATGTTCTTTCCTGGAGAATCCCATAGACACAGGAGCATGGCAGGCTACAGTCCATAGGGTCACAAAGACTTGGACACACCTGAAGTGACTGAGCACATATGCACATAACATATGCATAACATAGATGCACTGGCATCTATGGAACACACTACCCACACCAAAAGTTTGATAATTATACATTTTGTTATGCATGTGTCACATGACCCTGTTTCTCCACTTCTAAGTAACAATCATCCACTGCACAAAAATATAACCATGCACATAATGCTTATTA